TTGGGGTAGGACCTCCTCCCTGACCCGGAGAGGGCACTCTACCCTTTTCCGGCTCAAGACCATGGCCTCGGATTTGGAGGAACTGATCTTCATCCCGGCCGCGTCGCATTTGGCTGCTAACCGCTCCAGCGAAAGCTGTAGATCACGATCTGATGAAGCCAATAAGACCACATCATCTGCAAAAAGCAGAGATGCAATCCTAAGGCCACTAAAACGGATCCCCTCAACACCTTGGCTGCGCCTAGAAATTCTGTCCATAAAAGTTATGAACAGAATCGGTGACAAAGGGCAACCTTGGCGGAGTCCAACTCTCACCGGGAACAAGCCCGACTTACTGCCAGCGATGTGGACCAGGCTCTGACATCGGTCATACAGGGACCTAACAGCCCGTATCAAAGGGCCCGGTACCCCATACTCCCAGAGTACTCCCCCACAGGGTCCCACAGGGTCCCCCGAGGGACGCGGTCGAACGCCTTCTCCAAGTCCACAAAGCACATGAAACAGCATGCAGTTTGTGTTGTCTGCGGGCTGCAGGATTGTTCTGTTCTGTGTGAGGAGAGAAAAAGGCAGAAGAGTAGAAGACTTGTTTTCGTTTGCTGCAGGTCGCTTTGAGGCAGGGACTTTGCTGTCATTGTGTTGTTCTAAGGAAAAGCGAGGAAATGAGGAATGAGACAAGTTTGGTTGATGTATTGTTGGAAAACACACACACACATAAACATAGACACATCGATAATGTCCTCCTCCCCCACATATAATAATGAAAAGTGTGAGGACTTGTCCTCACGGCACAGTAAGAAGGAAAAACACATACATGCTTTAATATAGATATTAACAGAGTTTCAACACACACATAATTCGCACCCTCCCCCATTCACATAAAAATGATAGTCAAATCCTGGTACATTAGCAAATTAGAAACCAACAAAGTCTATGCTCAATTATCCAGGTATACAATCTAACAATTTTCAGTCAGGTCAACTGTACAGTTTCTTTTTTTGTGCTGAAACATTTCACCTTTGATCCAGAAGGCTTCATCAGTCAAGGAAACACACAACACCAAACTGATTCTTCCCCCAACAACTTACTCCAAAGTGGAACAAACTAGTTATGTTGGTGCTAAGATGATGTCTTTGGCACGCCCCCTCTTCCGTTGCCGGCCCTCTTCCTTGTCCTGTAGTGAGCATGTGCCACTTCACACTCGGAGCATTTCACACCTCTGTGGGGGATTCCTCTGAAAATCTCCACTCTGAGACCAGGATTCAGAAATCTTTGGTTTCAGAGAGAATGAGGCTGTTGTCTGTAAATGAACAGCCAAATGTTTCACGTCATGTAAACCGGGCCTCAGACTGGCTGCCCTGAATGTCAATCAAGTGACAAATTTCATGGATGGATGATAGGCTGACATCTATTTTTTAATGCCATGCCATCTACCCATAATACCTTTGCAACCTACCGGTAGATTGGGATTGACGTATTAGGCACCCCTAGTCTAAAACCTTTCATCAGGCTGCAGCACCATATCTGAGCTTTATCCAAGCTTACTCACAAACTTGTATTAAATAAATGTGGTTATGGTGACACATACATTTTAGAAAAGAAGTATTGAAGCTTCTTCATTTAAGGACATTTATTGTCTAATACAAAATATGAAGATAAAACATATAATATAATTACAAAACAGAAAATACAAAACAACAAACAAAAAACACATGCATGCACCTTCAAAATCCACTGGGATGGATGCCAGATCAATTAGCATTAATAAGGGAAAACAATGAGTGGGGTCCACAAGCCAGTCACCGCTCCCATTGAATAACTTTATTAGAGAAACTTTCTTCTGATTAACAACCTCTGAACACACAGATATGTCGCATGACAAACACCTCTTTATCAATCTAAGGAAAACATTTTTTTTTAATCAACCTACAGTTTAAGGTACATAAAAATGCTGTACGTAGGAAACTATACAAATAATCACAAAACATTGAACATGTAAAAAGTCAATACAGTATATGATACTTCTGACATTTCAAATGTGTTATGATAAAAACAAAAAATAATTTCTTGTTCTGGTTTTCTCTGGGTGCTCTGCATGGAAATGTTGAAGCGTCCATGTGACCTCATCTATATTGGTATGTATTGCGTAGCTGAATATTTCAGCTAAAACAAGTGACCCATTTTGTCACATAACTGACATTATTTCTTTTTAATTTAGTGCAGCAAAAGGGAAACAGGAAGTGACATCAAAGGAGAACTCACTAGTCTTTGTTTGCTGAAACAATATTATTTGAACTCTGACTCTTCTTTGTCTCTGATAGTAACTCCATCCATCCATCCATCCATTATCTTTACCCGTTTATTCCATTTTGGGTCACGGGGGTCGCCGGTGCCCATGTCCAGCAATCACTGTGCGAGGGGCGGGGTACACCCTGGACGGGTCGCAAGTCCATCACAGGGACACATAGAAACAAAAGAGACAAACAACCATGCACTCTCTCACTCACACCTAGGGACAATTTAGAGTTACCAATCAGCCTAACATGCATGTTTTTGGTCAGTGGGAGGAAACCGGAGCACACGGAGAAAACCCACGCATGCACGGAGAGAACATGCAAACTCCACCCAGAAGGCCCCTGGACCGGGGTTTGAACCAAGAACCTGCTCGCTGAGGGGCAGCAGCTCTACCAGTTGCGCCACCGTGCTGCCCTGATAGTAACTCATAATAATCTAAAGAAACATCATTTTCTTCTCTGCTGTCTGTTGTTAACCACTGTAGTGATGCTCTGTTTACATGCTCTATGACATGACTTCCTGTTACTGCACATAAGAAAACCTCAACAAGCGTTCTTCTCAATGGCGTGAAATTTCTTATGCAATAAATCATCAATGTTATGTTTAAAAAAAACATTCATAAATATTACAAGAGTTGTATGTCACAGGCACTTTAAGATGATTCCAACAAGGTTGAATCAGGTCCTCTGGACATTCTTCTTTGTTGAAACGTGTTAAACGTTATTGTTATTGACGCTCTTACTCAAAATGTCTTCTAATACTGCCACCTACTGTTGTATTTTATTTTGTAAATTTCTGGTATGTACGTGCGTGATGTCATCAAGTCTGTGAGAAGAAGACAAAAATGGTGTTCTGTGAACACGAGCTGTGTGCGTACAGCACTGCAAGGTCTTCAATAAATATGCCAGAATGAGGCTGAAGAGACCCAACGACTCACTTGTTTCTGTCTCTCTGCAACGCCGGCACCTCTGCGCTACAATCCATTCAACAAAACTTTTCATCCTTTATCCAAAAGACTTCCTCAGACTGAAGAAGTCTTTTGGATAAAACGTTTCAACAAAGAAGAATCTGTCCAGAAGACCTGACGTAACCTTTTTAGATTTATTTACTTGGATTATTGAGCATACATCAGGACACTGATTCTTTTCTTATGGCTGCTGTGGCTGAGTGGTTAAAGTGGCCATCTTTTAAAAAGAGATTCGCTATCAGAGTGCAGTCACAAGTTGAAGTATCCCTGGGATAACCACTGAAACCTTCATTGTGTGTCCCATCAACGTATGGATGTGATATAAAGCAATGGTTCCCAACCATGGTCCTTGAAGAATGCTGTCCTGCATGTTTTAGTTGTTTCCCTGCTTCAGCACACCTTATTTGGTGATTTTATTACTTTCTCCAGTTCTGACAAAGTCTGTTAAGCACCCATTCATTAAAATCTGGTGTGTCAAAGCAGTGGAACTACTGAAATATGCAGGATGGGTCAGATATACTTTGTAGAGATATATTTGAGTGTTGTATGAATGTGTATTAGAATGGGGGAATGAGGACACAAATTGTGTTGTGAAGCGCTTTAATGAGCTTGGTTGATTAAAAAGGTGCTTTATAAGTACAGTCCATTTAAAATTCTTAACACTTTTCTATAGAATGTCAAACAGGTGTTCCCAGATGATTTACTTGTGTGTATTTACAAGTGGTGACTGTGTATTCAGTTTGTTAGGCTGAAGAATGGAAAAGACCCAAAGTGTCACCAATAAAGTTGTTCAAGGGAACTTTGCTCGCTGTGCGGCTCAATTTATTGTTTTTCCTTAAAACTGAAAATGTGCAGAATTAACATTTACCAAGCAAACTAAAAATCTATGCAATATAAATAAATAGCTCAATTATTTGGGTAATTCTTTAAAACTTTTTTGACAGTGCTTTATTGGTGATAAGTTACGTGACATGTTTTGTTTTAGCAGTAAGGTAGAAAAGACATTTGGTCATTTAGAAGTACAAGTGAATATTTTAACATCCATCCATCTATCCATTATCTTTTACCCACTTCTTCCATTTTGGGTCACGGGGGTCGCCGGTGCCCATGTCCAGCAATCACTGTGCGAGGGGCGGGGTACACCCTGGACGGGTCGCAAGTCCATCACAGTGCCACATAGAGACAAACGAGACAGCCACCAACTCTCTCACTCACACCTAGGGACAATTTAGAGTTACCAATCAGCCTAACATGCATGTTTTTGGTCTGTGGGAGGAAACCGGAGTACCCGGAGAAAACCCGCGCATGCACAGAGAGAACATGCAAACTCCACCCAGAAAGGCCCCCGGACCGGGATTTGAACCAGGGACCTGCTCGCTGAGAGGCAGCAGCTCTACCAGTTGTGCCACCGTGCTGCCCAGTATTTGAACAAATAATGAAAATATTTCTTTAACTCTCAGACATTTTAAGATACATTAGAGACTCAAATTCATTCGAAATTAGGTTTTCACCAATGAAATGAGGCTCAATGGCATTACCTGTCTAAATAAATGTTGAATGAAATACAATTAAATACAGAAATGACTGTCAGTTGTTCTAATAAACCAAGCAGAAAGTACAATCAGTTTTTATTATGAGACCAGTGGAACATACTGCAATGTTTTGTTCCAGAAATATGACAAAAAAAAAAGTTTAAACATCAGAAATTTTTCTATATAAAATCCCGCTCGTTTTCTTTCCCGCCTTTTTAAAACTTGAGCAATAAGTACTGGAGTTCTGGTTGTTTTCACGGTGCCAGGTGGGTCTCAGTTCTCTGTCATCAGACCTGTATGAGAAGAGAACAAGAGGATGAGTGGATTATGTAGGGAAGCAGGTCAAGGATCTGACGTCTCTGCAAGTCTGGAAAGTAAAATGGGAAGGCTGATCCAATCAGGATTAAGTTGTTGCTTAACAGGGCACTGTGGCTATCTAAGGAATATGTTTTACTAATTCACTGTGTTCATGTTTAAGTTCTACAGGGGCGGCTGTGGTTGAGTGGTTAGAGCAGTCGACCTCCAATCCACCTCGAATCCACCAGCAGTCACATGCTGAAATGTCACTGGGCAAGACACTGAACCCCTCACAGCCTCTGATGTGTGTCCCATCAGTGTATGAATGTGATAAAAGCCCTGATTAGTCTCTTTAGAATGATTTGTTCAATTAGCTTTGTAGAGATCTAGTAGATTGCTGTATGAATGGGTAAATGAGGACACAGATTGTGGTGTAAAGCGCTTTGAGTTTCTTGAAATAAGATAGAAAGGTGCTATATATGTACAGTCCATTTACCATTTACAGGGACATATTCTGCATATTTCAAACATATTGCAAACAACAGCGTGAGTGAAAGTTTAACTTATTCATGTTTGTGCTGCAATCACCATAATAGGCTCATGAGCAATGGGACAAAAAATGGTATAAGGAATTACAAAAAGTTAAATTGTGTCATCTGGACAGTTTGTTTTTGGGATAAACATTTTGTCTTTCATCCTGTTACTGCAAATAAGAAACACTTCATCAGTCTGAGGCCTTCCACCAAGAACTGTCTTATAAATAGCACCTTATTGCTGTGTTTTAAGACAGCCTGCTGTGTAATTCCCAGAAACTGGCTTTACACATGCAAAATGGGGACAGTGCATAACAATCAAACAGAATTAATCAGAAAAAACTTTTTTCTGAACCATTTTGGCCAGGTAACTGTTCTCAGGCTGTTTCTGTGAGTAGCAAGTTGGCCATCAGGCCTAAAACAGCTGATGATTCATTTCATCATGCATGATGATTGATTGTTTTGGATGGATGGTACCCTTCGTGCATGTGTAAAGCCAGTTTCTGGAAATTACACAGCAAACTGGTTTGAAACACATCAGTGAGGTGCTATTTATAAGAGATCTTGGTGGCAGGTCTCAGTCTGGTCTTTTGGCTGAAAGACGAAACGTTTCTTCCAAAGAGGAACTGTCCAGATGACATGATTTAACCTGTTTTGTTATTTATTTACCTGGATGATTGAGCTTACAAACCTTCCTTTTTACTTATTCATGTTTGTGCTGCAATAAACACCACAATAGACTCATGAGCAATGGGACAAAAACTGCTATTTGGGATAGTTATTAAATCACAATTTGTGTTCGTGATGAATGTGCTTTCTTCATAATTTCATTGAATACAGAGCACAACTTTATTAATACAGTAGTCCCTCGCTTCGACATTTGGAAACTCGCTCTTTCACGGTTTTTCAACGATTGTCAACTTTAATATTACTCAGGTGATTGGGACGGTATGAGATAAAAAGTTAACGAAAAAAATATTTTGGACAGGCGCCGCCATTTTGTAGTTTTCTTTTAATAAGCCTACACTGTAAGGCCAGTCAAAAGAACTACACTACCGAGAAGCCAACAGTGTTTCAGGCTGCTGCTTTCTGCCAAAATGCAGGGAAAGTTTTGCAACATAAAGTCAAAAGTTATGATCTATCTATTAATCTCACAGAACTGGCAGGAAAGTCTCAAATAATCCTGAAACTTACTGAAGCTCAATTATCCATGCGCACATCAACCTGGATGGGTGGTGGACTTCGTCACTGCAGAGTAGGTCTGCAGAACCAGAACCGAGCTCCTGGTCTGCAGAGCTGGTGAGTAAAATTTTGCAGTACTGTACAGTACATATATGTATGTTGTTAAAATTATGTAGGCTTGTGAGTTTAGAACATTGCAGGAGCGAGGGAAGGGTTTATAAAGTCTTGAAATATATAAAAATACTAAAATAAATATAATATTCTTACTTTGGGGTTTTTCACCTATTGCCGGGATGTGTGGAACGTAACCCCCGAAATAATTGAAGGAATACTATTATCATATTTTATTGTCATTATTATTATTTTTTTTTTTTCAAACATTGATAAAGAGCTACTGCCTCCATAAGGAAAACAGTCCTGGTTTCAAAACTGCAAACAAGCAATACACGGATGTTCCCCGTCACTAAGGCATTTTAATAATGGATGTTTGTAGATATCTTTTTTTTTTTTCAAGTTTTTCTGGACTGGAAACAAACAGGGAATACAAGTAATACTAATGTGTTTGGTGCGAGATATTCAAGTGGGTAGACATCCATCCATCCATTATCTTTACCCATTTATTCCGTTTTGGGTCACGGGGGTCGCCGGTGCCCATGTCCAGCAATCACTGTGCAAGGGGCGGGGTACACCCTGGATGGGTAGCAAGTCCATCACAGGGCCACATAGAGACAAATAACCATTCACTCTCTCACTCACAACTAGGGACAATTTTAGAGTTACCAATCAGCCTAACATGCATGTTTTTGGTCTGTGGGAGGAAACCGGAGCACCCAGAGAAAACCCACGCATGCACGGAGAGAACATGCAAACTCCACCCAGAAAGGTCCCTGGACCGGGGTTTGAACCAAGGACCTGCTCGCTGAGAGGCAGCAGCTCTACCAGTTGCGCCACCGTGCTGCCCGTGGGTAGACATTACACTGTATATCCACCTTATTCCTGGGGGCTCTACTGTATAAATGATTATGGGTACAATTTCCTGTCAAACACAGGAAGTAGCAATAAGCATTGATAAACCATGGTAGAGGAGCACGTACTGTGGTTTATTTGAAAGTAATTTCCATTTAGTTTAGCAGATAAAACACTGTTTGTGTTTTGTTTACATTTATTTAACAACCGTAAAGTTTAGTAAAATAACCGTGCTGAGTTCAGGTACCTGTTGTGTTCATGGCTGCATGAACAACCATCCATCCATCCATCCATCCATTATTTTTACCCGCTTATTCCATTTTGGGTCACGGGGGTCACCGGTGCCCATGTCCAGCAATCTCTGTGCGAGGGGCGGGGTACACCCTGGACGGGTCGCAAGTCCATCACAGGGCCACATAGAGACAAACGAGACAAACAACCATACACTCTCTCACTCACACCTAGGGACAATTTAGAGTTACCAATCAGCCTAACATGCATGTTTTTGGTCTGTGGGAGGAAACCAGAGTACCCGGAGAAAACCCACGCATGCACTGAGAGAACATGCCAACTCGACCCAGAAAGGACCCTGGGCCGGGATTTGAGTGCCTGGAGAAAACCCACGCATGCACGAAGAGAACATGCCAACTCGACCCAGAAAGGCCCCCAGGCCGGGATTTGAACAAGGGACCTGCTTGCTGAGAGGCAGCAGCTCTACCAGTTGCACCACCATGCTGCCCATCATTAATATCATATATATCATATCATATATTAATAATCACAAAATAATTCAAATAAATATCTGGCATGGAAGTGAATATAAACTAAATCACAAACTCAATAGAGACGCAGAAGAAAACTAAACCGGACATGAAGCACGATGCCAGACTGAACGTAAGTGTCACATGATAGAATAAATGGACTGGAGCTGATGAAGACAGCAAATAATCACAATAATAAATTAAAAAAGATGAGATAAAAAATAATTAGATATTTTCCTCTCAATACAGACAAACACACATACAGACAGGGCCCTTCAGCAGTGTGCAATAATAATATTAGTAGTAAAATTTATTTAAACAAAGTGGACTCTAGATCAGTTGTTCCCAACCATGGTCCTTGAGGAATGCCATTCTGCATGTTTTAGTTGTTTCCCTGCTCCAACACACGTGAGTCAGTGATTTTATTACTTCCTGAAGTTCTGCCAAAGCCTTTTAAGCACCCATTCATTCAAATCAGGCATGTCAAAGCAGGGAAACAACTAAAACACGTAGGACAGTGTTCCTCAAGGACCAAGGTTGGGAACCACTGCTCTAGATGACTCTGAGATAGGTCAATATGATTGGAGTTGCACATGTTCCTGAACTAATTATGTTGAAACATTTGTTTTATAATAGAATAATTATGGTTTGTGTTATATTCTCTGTAATCCTGACGGATTGATGAATGTTGTTCAGAAGGTTTGTAAAGTTGAGGTTAATTTGTGTGTGTGAATAAATATTACCTGTCGCAGCACTCATACAGTAGAAACGGCTCTCCCTGTCATAATTTAACAAGAGTGCGCAAATGGCACAATGTACACCCATCAACAAACCATCATACAGCAGTTCAGCATTTTGCAGCACTGGTAAGCAGAGAGATTGTATAATATTTTACCTTTTTTTTTTTACCTCAACCTTGAAGTCAAATTCACAAATTAAGATAATTAAGATCTGGGGTGATGAAATATGAACATAACACTCTGTCTAGTTATGGTGCATGTGTACATCAAGTATCATTAAATTAGCTTGAACAGATAAGAACTTAGGATTGGGACAAGAAAACACCTTTGTAATGTTGACCTTGATTTGTGACCTTGGCCTTGGAGCTGGGGTGATGAAAAGTTATGTTACACTCCATCTAATGATGATGCATAGGTGTGTGAAGTGTTGTTAAATTCTCTTTAGTGGATCAGAAGTTATGGGCAGGACAAGAGAACATATACGAACAGAGACTACACCATAATACATCTGCCTTTGATGGGTGTATAAAAAATTGTATATTTTAAGGTACAAGCCAGGGCAGCACAGTGGCGCAGTTGGTAGGGCTTCCGCCTCGCAGCAAGCAGGTTGCCCCAGTTAAAATCCCAGCCGAGGGCCTTTCTAGGTGGAGTTTACATGTTCTCTCCATGCTGCATGGGTTTTCTCCGGATACTCTGGTTTCCTCCCACAGACCAAAAACATGCATGTTAGGCTGATTGATAACTCTAAATTGTCCCTAGGAGTGAATGAGAGAGTGAATGGTTGTTTGTCTCATTTGTCTCGATGTGTCCCTGTGATGGACTGAAGACATGTCCAATGGTCCCTGTTATGGACTGGAGACCTGTCCAGGGTGTCCCCCACCTCTCGCACAGTGACAGCTGGACATGCGCACCAGTGACTCCCGCGACCCGGAAAGAAAGAAGTGGGTAACAAAAATGGATGGATGGATGGATGGATGGATGGACGGACGGACAGATGGACGGTACAAAGCATCTACAAAGAACAGTCAGTTTGATTTCTGAACTTCAACTGACACTGACATCCTTCATACACATACCTTTATTCTGTGCAGGATTTCTCCCCCTGGCCTGCCTGGAACCCAGACTTGCTTCAGACTGTGTGTGGGACTTCCCACCGAACCTCTGTTCAGACTGGGTGCGACGATCTGAGCCATTCGCTTGTCTTGTAAATAGCCTGCCTTGGGAAACCTCTCCCTGCTGGCTGGGAGGAACAGGACATCCAAAAAAGAGGCAGGTTTGATAATTTTGTTGCTCATTTTGACAGAAGACTGAGCGAGCATCTTGAAAAGACACAGATGGGACAATCTCTTCAGTGGTATTATCAGCTGCACTTATTATTGTTCGTGGAGAACTGGGGCGAGATGAAGACCTAGAGGTGGACTGGGGCTTAAATGCAGGGGGACTTTGGAATCTGTGGCGTACAGAAGGGCATGATGGTGGTAAGCGGACTCTGGAGACAGGTGGTACTGTCACTGGCAGACTGGAGTGACACTGGTCAGACTCACATGATTCTTTGGTTTCAAACCTTTGGCCCATTCTGGCTTGGCTGAACTGAACATAACTTGACTTGTCAGGAAAATCTGCTGCATTGCACAGGTGAATAATCTTCCTTGCCTGCTGGTAAAGACTGTTTGATTTTTCAGCTTCTTGATCCACATCTGTTTCCAGTTGCAACTTTTCATGCTGCACCCTGGTAACAGCCTCTGACCCAACAGAAGTAGTAGATCTGATGGAGCATGATCCTGGCCTCATGGTGGCTCTGTTTGGTAGAATCTCTACATTCTGGAGAGTTATCTTCCGGCGCTGGTAAATTCCATTTTTTTGATTTATGACTGGGAGTTTCTGAACTGACTCTTCCTGCAGCTCCTCCTCACTTTGTAGTTGGTTATTGTTACTCTGGAAGGAATTGTCCATCAGAACCTCTAAGGGTGGGGGTGGCAGGTTATCTACATCAAGGTCCCCTCTGCTACCAGATGAGCTGTTAGTGTTGTTTTTGCTGTTGAACTTGCCCTTATTACCATTTCCTGCATTAGAAATGAGAAGAACACGGTTTTTATTGGGCATTTTTATGTGAGAAAGAACTTTATAAAAGCTTTGTTCTGGACTCCCATCAGCCCCTTGGCTGAACGTGTTGATGAGCCTTCTGACCGAGCGGCGTTTTGATGGTTGACTGGCTAACATTGGTAATGAAGGTAACAATGGCTGATTTGATTCCACCTGGTTTCTGCTTGACCCATTGAAATACTGCCGTCTAGTTCTGTGTAAAGTATGATCAGGTCTCTTTAACGCATGTGTTCCTTGTATTTCAGACACAGTTTTATTGTTTAGATCTGATTCTTTCTGGTTCTTCTGTAGCTCTGTCATCAGATTTAAACTGCAGGTGGATGAAGAGCCTTCAGACCAGGCTGAAGTCAGAGGACGTTTAAAGGTTGGCTGCTGTTCCTGAAGGCAGTACGCCTGCATGTACTGAAGAGCTTGACTGGGATCCGGTGGAGAAGAGCTTGACCTCTTTCTTTCAGGCCTACAGTATTCATCATCTTCATATTCTTCTTCACCATCCAGCTCTTCATCTTCATCCTCTTCTTCATAATCTTCATTATGGCCCACTGAGTTGGCTAAATTATTTGAATAATTGTCAAATGCATCCTGGATGTTGACTTCAGAGCCACAGCTTCCAGAACCTGCGCTCCTGCTGTGGCGGCGCTGCTTTTCAGACTCTGTCAAACTCTCGTTCTCTCCCCCAAACCCGCTGTCCTCGCTGTGCAGTGTAGAATCAGCTGAACTGGACTTCTTAATGGCCGCTCCCTCTACCTTAGCGAGTATTTCCACGAGGCGATGCTCTGCAGCTTGCTTTGCCTGCAGCTTCTGAGCCAACAGTTTAGAAAGGGAGGAAAAATACTCCACTGCCTCCACAAGTGTCGTGTCCCCCAGGGTCTGGACTGAACTTCCAACTTGCCTCATTTTTTCTGCTGAATGTTGGAGCAGTTGCTGTAAAAGATCTGGAGGTAGATCGGATTGATTTGCTGTGTTGATGCTGGGTTTAGTTGACCTTACAATTTGGCCCAACATCCCAGAAGGCAGGGCCATGTAGTCTCCATGTTCCATCAGCATCTGCTCCCCATCCTCAGCCATCTCCTCCAGTGCCTGGTTGATCTCTTCAAATCTCAGCACCACAGCCGATATCATGGGCTGCAGGGATATCTGTGTCTGAGCAGCCTGGTCCAGCAGACCAAGAAGGGTTTCATATTTGGAAATATTTGGGTTCAAGAAGATGTAGGCAGCCTGGTGAGCCCTGACCGTGTGTGGTGGGAAGTCCATCTTACACTGAGCAACAGAAGACTTTCTCGGCTTCTCGGTGGATCGTTTATTGCCTTTACTTTTCTTTCGACTCTCAATCTTCTTCATTTCATCCATCTGACTAACATCACAGATGATTTTCTGGGGCGTTGGATCCACTTCGGTTTCTGTAATGTTCTCTGGATTTTTGACAGATGTTGTGTTTGAGTCCAGTTGAATCCTCATAGTTTCGGCTGAATCGTGTTTTTCAGAGAGTAGCAGCAGTTCCTCTTCTTCCTCTTTGGTTGTCAAACCCATATCTTCCTCCCTTGGAGGTCTACAGTCCACATCTTGTGGTGCTTCGGCCGGCTGAGCCTTCTCAGTTTCAATGCCATGTTGTTTTAATAACTTTCCTTTTGACGGAGAGCTGCCCATGATGTTAATTCAGAGCATAAAGATCTACAAGAACATTTTTTTAAGTATTTTAAATCCTCCAGTACTGGATTTTAATATGCCATCCAGCATCTGAATATTACCTTTGATAAGAGTCCTCAAATTTCCGCTTTTCTCCACAAATATGTCCACCTGCGCCACAGAGATGTGCAGAATCTGGAGAGCGAAATGACCACAGTGTTTATAGAGGAGGACAGACGATACGACAGATTGTAGTGGTTGGAGGGGGCAGGATGGGTGCACAGATGGTCACAATAAGTGCATTAACGTGCACACTACACACACTTACAAAAGCACACCTGCAGCTGAACCTTTATACATAAGACTTTAATCTCCTCAAGGTAATCAGGGCAAGGTTTGTCAGGTGGTGCTTTTAGACTCATCCATTTACCTGTTGGTAAGGTTTACTCTGTAAACTTTACAGGGTGACAATTTATTTGTACAATTCAATTCGATTCACTTTAGTTAATTTATATAGTGCCACGTCACAACAGAAGTCATCTCAGAGCACTGAACAGAAACATTCATGTACATAATAAGTAAGTTAATAACGTTATTTATCTGAGGAGCAGACTGCTGTGAGTCTAACTTCATCACATACTCTCCTCCTAAGCAAGCGTGAAGGCAACTGTGGAAAGGAAAAACTCCCTTTTAACAGGAAGAAACCTCTTGCAGAACCAGGCTCAGGACGAGCGGCCATCTGCTTCAACCAGCTGGGTTTGAGAGGACAGGAAGTAGAAACAGACAAACACAAAATGACAGGTATGAAGGTGCATTATTTGTCTCCCACGGGGTACACCCTGGATGGGTCACAAGTCCATCACAGGGCCACATAGAGACAAACAACCATTCACTTTCTCTATCCTGATGAATGCTGAATAATCCAGGTAGAAAAATCTAAAAAAGTTAAATGTTGTCCTCTGGACATTCAAAAAACAAAACAAAGCAAAACAACAACAAAAAAAAAGTAGATGAAATGTTTCTACATTTTTTTGTTGTTTTGCTTTGCTTTGTTTTTTGAATGTCCAGAGGACCAGATTTAACTTTTTTAGACATTCACTCTCTCACTCAAATCTAGGGACAATTTAGAGTTACCAATCAGCCTAACATGCATGTTTTTGGTCTGTGGGAAGAAGCCGGAGTACCCGGAGAAAACCCACGTATGCACGGAGAGAACATGCAAACTCTACCCAGAAAGGTCCTCGGACTGGGATTTGAACCAGGGACCTGCTCGCTGAGAGGCAGCAGCTCTACCAGTTGTGCCACCGTGTTGCCTCATTTCGTATCAGATAAATGTAAATTTTTGTTTTCAGGCAGATGGAATTCTCTGATCTGTCTCCTATATGGAGGTATCCTTGATACATGCTGATCTGAACAGATGCTGAAATAAAATGGACTGTACTTATATAGCGCCTTTCTATCTTATTTCAAGACACTCAAAGCGCTTTACACTACAATCTGTGTCCTCATTTACCCATTCATACAGCACTCTACTAGATCACTACAAAGCTAATTGAACAAATCATTCTAAAGAGACTAATCAGTGCTTTAGATCACATTCATACACTGATGGGACACACATCAGAGGCTATGAGGGGTTCAGTGTCTTGCCCAGGGACACTTGGACATGTGACTGCTGGTGGATTCAAACCCCCAACTCTTGCATTGGAGGATGACTACTCTAACACCTCAGCCACAGCCGCCCCTATAAAGAACCTACAACCATCTCAAAATGTGTAACCTGTTTTTTTGTCTGGAGGAAGATCTCAAAACACCACAGAAAATCAACCTTGAATTTGTTAGGATCTCTTAACAATCTGACAAATTGAAGGAAATTGTGATTTCTTAAGTTTATGGTGGTCCACAGTCATTCATTATGTGTTTGAGGTGGGGAGGGGTGTTGTACAAGAGACTTTTTAAATTATAATTATATTTTCATTGAATTGTAGACCTTCAATGACTGCTGAACAAACCTGAAGATTTGATCAAATACTCCCAAGCATCAACGTAACGTAATTAGTGTTGAACCAGAGTGTTGGGTTGTTCTTCCATCCACTTGTAAGCTTATATGGATCAGGTAGACCAAATTTTAAAATAGTTTCACAACATACTGATCCCATGTCTCAGAACTAAGCTTTCTAGCATAATCTGATCAGTCTAATTTCAGCTGATAATAGGTGGAGTTTTAATGAGTTAGTAGGAGTGATCATATTTCTCCAGTTTTAGTTTCTTTCCATTGGCTCCCTGTCAAATTCAGCATTGAATTCAAACTCTTACTTCTAACCTACAAAGCTCTCAACAACCTAGCTCCATCTTATATTACAGATCTTATTGTTCCATATTTTCCTAACAGAGCAATTTGCTCTCAAACTGCAGGTTTACTTGCGGTTCCTATAGTTCCCAAAAACAAAACGGGAGGAAGAACTTTCAGTAATCACGCTCCTCTCTTGTGGAACCAACTTCCACTTTCTGTCCATAAAGCTGACACACTGTCCAGTTTTAAGACTGAGCTTAAGACTTTCCTTTTTGATAAATCCTATAGTTAAGGTTGGCTTGGTTTCCTGAGCTATCCCTTAGTTATGCTGCTACAGGCTTAGACTACTGGATAATGAATTGACCTCATTTCATCAAATGAATAGTTACAAATGAATACAAATGAATAATTTTTATTTGTAATTGTTTCTGTCTTAACGTGTTGTTTTTTTGACTTTCTTCCTAGTGAAGACCTGCTCGCCTCCATGCTGGACCTGCCATTGTGTGTCCATTTCTCCATCCCGTTTTCTCAAACCCAGCTGGTCGAAGCAGATGGCTGCTTGTCCTGAGCCTGGTTCTGCTGGAGGTTTCATCCTTTTAAAAGGGAGTTTTTCCTTTCCACTGTTGCCTTTGTGCTTGTTCAGAATGGGAGACTGCAATGAAATGAAGACTCAACATCCAAAAAAGTTAAATCTGGTCCTCTGGACATTCAAAAAAACAAAAAACAAAACAAAGCAAAAAAATGTAGAAAAGTTTTGTCTCTCATCCGAGAGACTTCCTCAGTCTGAGGTGCTGTATTCAGCTCAGTCTCTTAAATAGCACCTTCTCAGCGTGGATCAACCAGTTTGCTGCTGACAACCAAAACCAGCTGCTCACATGGTCAAGAAGGACCATCAGCCTAACAATGGATCATTAGCACACTGATGGATGTTTACTATTCACAGAGAGTTGAGTGATACTAGCAATAACAGCATTGTACGATGCTGTTTGATTGTCAGCAGCAAACTGGTTGATCCACTCTGAGAAGGTGCTATTTAAGAGACTGAGCTGAATACAACACCTCAGACTGAGGAAGTCTCTCGGATGAGAGACGAAACGTTTCTACTTTTTTTTTGCTTGTTTTGTTTTTTGTTTTTTTGAATGTCCAGAGGACCAGATTGAACTTTTTTGGATTTTTCTACCTGGATTATTGAGCATGCATCAGGAAGACTCAACATGTCTGCTGGCTTCCTTCCTTCCTTAGACAGATAACTTTACTAAGTGGCATTTATAATGTATGTGAATGTTTCTGTTCAATGCCCTGACATAACTTCTGTTCTAACTTGAAACTATGTAAATAAATTGAATTGAATTGGATTCTCTTCTTCAGAGTCTCATTCATTGCTTACTATTTGCTTTCTGCCATCCAGCATACTGCGCATGTGAGAAAATGAGTGCCTCTGTTTACAAACTTGATCTTCCCTGTCAGATTGTGAATCTGAGTTTTGGATTTACCAAATGAAAGGATGGACTCTGTGGTTGCTCTGTAGAAAATTTACTGTTTTTTTATTATGTGTTTTTGCATCATTGGATAAACAGAGTCTGTGTAAAAATGGAAGGTGCTGGTGGATTCTGGCACAGATGGTGTAAATCTGTGTCTGGCAGCTTGAGTCACTGTCAGTGTAAACACCAAGGTATTTGTATAAGGTCACCTGTTTAATGGGATTATTGAGTATGGTCACGGGGCTCTGGTCATCAGCTGAGCTGGGATCCAGCAGCATCTCTACAGTTACTGGTGTTTATGTGAAGTTTGTGGTTGTTGCTCCAGTCCACAAACTTATCCACAGCAGCTCTGAGGTTGATTTCTTGGTGAGCAGGCTGAATGCTAATTTGGCTCTGAGCTAACACAGTCATTTGTTTACAGTGTAAACAAGAATGGTGAACTGACACTGTCAGGTTCCAGTGCTGCTGTCCAATGTGTCTGAAAATGTAGGCAAGAAAGGAGCAGTACCACCTGATTTAAACAGTGATTAAATTCATCTTTATTATCTATCCAAGGATAATGAGTGGCTGAACTGAACTGAAAGCAGAAATAAAATCAACGAACAGCAGTCGATGATATGAACTTGGCTTTTCAAGGTGCACAAAGTGCATTATCACCAGTCTCAACATTTTAGGTAAGTTCAACGGACCTAAAATGATTGTTCTACTGTGGGAATGCCTTTTTCAAATAAAGTTTCAGATCCTGTCTTGTAAATAGATCAACTTGCTTTTCACTGTAAAAAAAGCACTGTTAACCTTTCCAAGTCTTGGAGTCTGCTCACTTCAGTCCATACTCTCTGGGTATTACTATCGACTAGACCTGGGCATTGTATGGCCCCTGGGCCACAATGGTTGACTCTGACTGGCCTGTGAAAGGGTAATTACGAAATAAACATATTTTCTAATTTTACCTCGTGTGGCATTGCCTTTATTTTGCTTTTTTTTTTTTCACGGACAAAATGACGCAATGTGTAAATCAAAACGTGCAATGAGCATGATTAAATTGCTGTCATGAGCAGGTCACAAGACAAGTTCAAGTTAAGTTTAATGTCATTCACATCACATGTGGTGGAATGAAATTATGTACTCAGGATCCCAGTTACACCCAAAAATAGAAAAATATAAAGTGTAAAAAGAAACTGTATATAAGGATCTAAGATATATTCTAAACGAAAGCCAAATGGTATGCTAAATGTTCTAATACACTA